TGTTGCCATTAAATGCGACCGATGTTCAAATGTTGTTGCTAAGTACATGGAAACATCCACCATGTGACCGCTGAGCAGACTGAGCCCAACATTCAGACGTGATGATGATGATGATAACCTGGTGACCTGCTCTACATGTGAGTCCACAAACTGCTAAGACTTGTTGTTATTTAAAAACACATTTATTCCTCATGCGTTTCCCACTTCTTCCTATATTCCCTCATGTCCGGACAGTTTGTGCCATCTCAGGAATTTGCTACACTTGTGAGTCCTTATGTTGATAATTTGATACATTTTGTGTAAAAGTATCCAGAAATGATTTGTTGTAGTCTCAGATGTGTGCGTGCTCATCTGCACCGTGTTCCTCTCTCGTTTGTTTTGCAGAGCATTGAAGCTCAGCTTGTTTGGCCCTGAGCTTCTTTTTTTAATGGCAGGTCTAAATCGCCAGTTCATGCTGATGCAAACCATGTGGGAAGTTTCCCAGCCCCTGCCCTGCGATACACAATCGCATAAAAGTGCTAAATCTGCTCTGTATTAAAATACGGGACCTCCTAAACACAGTAGGCTGACCTCCCGCTCCCATACAACACAGAAAACATTGTAAATTTGCCTGCATTAAAAATCAGTTTTGCCTCATCTGAAGCAAACACATCTCTGTAAATAATCCCAGAGGCAAAAACTGCATTTGCAAATCATCAGATAAGTTTGATCCTGTTTGAGTGTGTCTGTGTTTGTCCTGGGGGAAGGGTGCAGGGCCAGTTGAAATAACACACCCTTGCAAAACAACAAGAAAGCAAAGATGCACAGCGTGATGGAGCTGGCGTTCGGCTTCACGTGGCCGGGGAGAGATGGCGGATATCTCGCAGTGACATTAGGGGAAAAGCAGAGGCTGCATTGAGAAGCGTCTTTAGCCGTGTTATAGATGAGCATCACAGAGTCACAGAGCCCTGACCTCCCCCCACTCTTACTATTGATCTCCACACAGCCTCTGCCCCCTTCATCCACATAAACAACCTCTTATGCTCGCTTTCTCCCTCTGCTTCATGATTAGTTTGGGCTTAACACAATCCTCCTCACACACAGAGCTACTGCAGAACACAAGGTGTTGGTGTTGAGGTGCAGCAGTGCTGTTTAACCCTAATTCAGCTTGAGCACCAACCAACCAGGCTGAGGGGATTAAAGGAGGGGGAGGGGATCAGTACAGTAGCATGCTTCCTCCACATGCCAAACCAAAGTCCTTAAAGGAAAACATCAATCGAAGGGCCAGAAAGCGCCGTGTCTGTGGACGTCCAATTTATCCCAAGCTGAGCTGAAACGTGTGACCGAAGCCCAAAAAGACACCGTCTCCTGTGGGGCTGATATTAAGAGTGAGAAATTCCTGTGATACAAGGAAGGGAAGGAGGAAGGGAGGAGCAGCGGTGGTGGAATTAAAGTGTGAAAAGTGCCAAAAACCAGTTTGTTGCTTTGACATTTCCTCTTGTCCCAGCACACAACATCGTTCGCATAAAACAGCCAAAAGAAAGGAAAACATAAGAGAGCAGCACATATGGAGGTGCAGCGTGCAGCTGCAGCTACGTCACAAGCAGCACATAAACAAAGTGCTGGGAGCCAGCGAGGCTCTGACAAGCTGGCGTTTGTCTGCTCATTAGCCCGGCCTGAAAATCATTAACTAATTACAGCATAAAGGGCTGATCCTGGCAACCTGCACACGAGCGGCATGCATCACTTTGTTTATTCAGACTCCAAATATCAGATAGAAACCAACAGTGCTGCAGCTTCATACATACATTCAAATATATTCTCAGCTCCACTCAGACGTGGTTGCTCCACCTGTACGTGGGACGCGTTCAGAAAAGAAAGTGATCCTTGCTTACCTTCCCATGTGTCCATTTCATGCTTCTCCCAGTCTGCCTGGACCCCATTCAAGCATGGACTCTGCTAAAGGAAAAAGCCGCTGGGCCTGCTCTCCACATTGCTCTCGCTCCTGTTCTCTCCCCCACCAACCTCTTTCCTCGACAGCCTGCCCCTCTCTGACCGCAGAGAGACCAGCACTGGTCACTTTACTGCCTGGTCACATGACCGGCAAGAGTTCAAGCCCCCGGGGTCACCGCTTGGCTTGTGGTCCAATGACAGCTAGGGGTTATCTGAGTGGAAATGATAGTCCTATTTTCACTGGCGTTCAACAATGCTGCCCCCGCCCTTTCTTCCCAGCCCTCACACCCAAATTGGCCTCCCCTTTAACTGCGCCTCTGGCACTTGGGAGGAGGACGAGCATGCCCTAGCATAAACACAGGTTCAAGCTGGCAAAACACAACGATACTAAGTAACTGAAACGCTGAGCGAAGCAGGTTAAAGATTCACACCTTGCTTGGTTACAAAGTGACAGCAGGAAGCCAAACAGCAGCGCACGGAGACACTTTGTGCACGTTCCCCCTTTCCACATGTTTTCTGCCCGTCCGACCTCTAAACCACACTAATGCTTCATGGATTGGAGTAAGGATGGTAACCAGGAGCCAGGTTCTGCTTACTGATTTCACAACACGGTGGAAATATTTATTATCTGATTATGAGTCATTTAGCAGGGTCAGCAGGAGTTTAACCAAACACCTGGGTGAGAGCTGCAACATCCCAGCTCCATGTTGGCCTCGCTTACCATTAGAAGTCAACCAA